CAGTAATGGACATCCCTGGATAATGCCATCTGGGATATTATTGTGCCTTGCCTGGTCACAGTGCAAAAGGTTCCCCTTCTGCAGAATGTCCTGTTTCACTAGAAATGCCAGAAGCTTTGTAGCTTTGTATAAAGCTCACAAATGTAGTACATGGACACAGCTGGTGAGGAGTAATTACAGCTAATGTTCCATTCCACATCTGAGCATTCCACATACAAATTCTGGGTAATTGTTCACTAATACATGATGTGACTAGTTTATTTCGCTCTCCTCACCCTAGAGAAACGTGCAGGAATTTGTAGTTGCAACCCAATTGTCCATCATAATGGACATGGGGCGATTTGAGGTACGAAAACTGCTTAAAGCAGAGGTGTACCAATTAATATAAGAGTTCAGGAGCCTGTTCATCTTCCAATTCAGGAGCCATCTTCATTGACTACATACTAAAGAACCTCAAAAGTTAGGTGACAGCTCTAAGCTTTTAAGGGATCATTGGTTACCTGGCTCCTGGGATGTGTCCAGAGGAACTTTCCACCAATTTAAGGTCTGCCAAAAGTTTTTAAGCTATGACAACGGTCAAGGTTGCCAGTGTGGTTATTTCAGCTCTCAACCAAACTTTCAAGCCCTCAAATGGCTAGTGTCATAGCTGATCGCATGGCAACTACAATCCAAACCCAGCCTGAGATTAAACTTTCCTTGGCTGTAAGATAGTAGGCTGTAGTTCCACTTTAAAGGAATTGGTCATTGGGTAATATAATACAAAGTACAGTACTAGCTATTGGGGGCCAACACAAAACATAAACATATTGGCCCTAGTTCTTCCACTCCCGTGTTTCCTAGGAGCCCCTAAACTTGGTGGCAAGCAATATACCATCTTGGCTTTGATCCACATCTAGGCACAGATTCACCCTCCACATCCTAATCTGCAGTGTGGGTACCTGGATGACCTGTTAGGATGTACCCTCATTGCACTGTTGGATGTCTAAGGAGATGCCTCTGCACCGAGGATGAGCAACAGCCAATATTTCCACACTGAACTTGCTCTTAGTCATGAAGTTGCCAGAGTATAACCGGGGCTGAATCATACCAAGGAACTGGTGTCCACTAACAATTTGTGAAGCCACCACTACTGATCTAAAACCACCGACTGTTTCACTGCAGTATTTGGATATATTACCAAAAAGAATACCAAGGTCTAGGCAACCATGGACCTTGGTATTGCTTTTATTGCATTTGCTTCCTGATGTCTTCAAACCTATTTATAGGCCATGCAGGTCCACATGTTTTGTGATCACTTGAATGCACACAGAATGAATTATGTCTTTCCTTTACATGCCAGCCCTCTGTGTCTGACTGCATTAAAGGATGCTTGTACTACAGGCCCCCCTCCCATCTATTTTCATTACAGGGTTGAATGGATTGAGCCCTGCAGAGGCTCCCTGCACATTAGATGTGTGGCCCAGACTCCAGATAGGGGAAGAAGCTGCTTAATTTCTCAGCAGCAGTGGAGAAAGAACAATTCCATACTTGTTTGTACAAAAGAACACACGTTGGCTTCTTGTCACCTAATTCATTTATATAGTAGGGCCTTTTGGGGGATCATTGGACCGTTTATTTCTTGTCTGCAACAGTCTGAGACCAGAAACGCACAAGAATTGTCAAGATTGTATTTTGCGTAGGGATGCATCGAAATTTCAGCCGCCGAAACTTATCGGCCAAAAAATTGCGGTGCATTCCTAGTTTCTCTCCTCCCCGCTGGGCGCTGCTCTGTGTACGCACGGGGAGTAGAGAAACTATCAGGAGGCCGAGCCGGGTGGGAAGGAGAGTGCTGTGAGCTGCAATGTCACAGGAGGCCGAGCTCTCCTGCACCCTTCTGCCTCCTGTGACACATCATGGAGAGCGGTGTGGGGGCGGAGACGGCAGTCACAGGTGCGGGGGAGGAGTCCGCCGTCAAAGTAGTTACATAGTATTTGGGGTTGAATAAAGACATACGTCCATCAAGTCCAACCCATATAGGTCCACGCATCATCTCATTCTTAGGGATACTGGTATCCCTGGATATTACGGTCCCTCAAGAAATTGTCCAAACTTTTTTTTGAACAATTCTACACTCTTGGCTGAAATCACTGCCGATGGCATTAAGGTCAGAAGCCTTGTCTCATAGCTCTGGTCCTCCATTCCCCTAATTTAGTTTTGTTGTCCGCTGGAGTCTCTCCAGTTCAAGGACATCCCTTCTGAGTACCGGCGACCAAAACTGGACCGCGTACTCCAGATGAGGCCGAACCAACGATCTATATAGAGGCACAATTATAGACTTGTCCCTGCAATACATCCCCTTCTTACAGGACAAGACCCTGCTAGCTTTGTATACCGCAGCTTGGCACTGCAAGCTACCATTCAGTTTGTGGTCTACAATGACTCCCAAATCTTTTTCTATTTCTGACTTCCCTAGCGGCATACCCATGATTGTACAGCCTGACTTCCCTAGTGGCATACCCATGATTGTATAACCTGACTTCCCTAGCGGCATACCCATGATTGTATAGCCTGACTTCCCTAGCGGCATACCCATGATTGTATAGCCTGACTTCCCTAGCGGCATACCCATGATTGTATAGCCTATTTGTTTATTTTTATGTCCAAAGTGCATTACTTTGCATTTATCGACATTAAACCTCATCTGCCATAGTATTGCCCACTCCCCTATTTTATCCAGGTCCTCCTGTAATGTTATATTGTCACGATCCGTTTCTAGTACCCTCCCTATTTTTGTATCGTCTGCAAACACGGAAACATGGCTATTTATTCCCTCCCCGATGTCATTAATGAATAGGTTGAACAGTATCGGACCCAGCACAGATCCTTGAGGCACACCGCTCATTACACTAGCCCAGTCCGAAAAGGTGCCATTTACAGATACCCTCTGGACACGTTCCCGTAGCCAGTTCTCTATCCACGTACACACCACCTCATCTATGCCCATAGCCCTCAGCTTGTGTAGCAAGCGTTTGTGTGGTACCGTATCAAAAGCCTTTGAGAAATCCAGATATACCACATCCACCGGCTTACCTCCGTCCATATCTCTACTTACCCCCTCATAAAAAGTTAGCAAGTTAGTTAGGCAGGAACGGTCTTTCCTGAACCCATGCTGATTGTCATTAACTATCCCGTTATCCTTAACAAATTTTACCAAATAGTCCTTAATTATACCTTCTAACAGTTTACAAACTACCGATGTTAGACTGACCGGCCTATAGTTTCCTGGTTGGCATCTTGCCCCCTTTTTGAATATTGGAACTACCGTAGCCCTCCGCCAATAGACCAAGCTCTCCTCCCGCACTGCTGGCTCAGACTCCTGTGATCGTCAGGATGGAGAGCAGGTACAAGCACTCAGTGATAAGCTGATCGCTGACTGTTAATAATTAGAGGACAGAGTATGTTTACTGTGACCCCAGTTATGAATGAATGGGAAGTACTCCCAACACTTTCTGTTCATTCATGATTGTGGACATGGTAACTCATACTATATCCAGAAATTATGAACAGGGGCACTCAATATAGAGGGAATGGAAGGTGGTGGGGGGTCCTTCTCAAAGTCTTCAGCTGTGTGTGTAATTTATCAGGAATGTTGACAAGAATCATAGGATCTCATTGCACTCGGCATTCTCTTATTGGCTAAAACAAATGCATCAAAAGATTCAAAAAATATAAAATTATAGCTTGATATTGCGCTGAGTCCGAAGCATATATATATATCTTCAGTATACAGCAGGTTTTGTACTGTTGATTTTATGATCAGAAACTGTAAACTTTCCTCTTATGTTTTGGTCTAAAAGTCTCCTTTTTGCCTCCACAGTTTTGGGAAGTGATCAGTGACGAGCATGGTATTGATCCCACGGGAGCCTACAACGGAGACAGTCCTTTGCAGCTGGAAAGGATTAATGTCTACTACAATGAGGCCTCAGGTATGCCGCCTTGTCTGGAGGAGTTTGGTTTGATTACGTGGCGCAGTCAGTGTGGTTTTCAAGCCCAATTGGACATTCAGTTTAAATCCGCTAAATACGCTCCAGGTTTGATTTAAGCAACAGCCTGATTAGTAAAGCTTGTTCCCTGCCAGCCTAGAGAAGTTTCTTGTGTTCTGTGTGGAAGCAGTGGTGTCTCTGCAAAGGTCTGACATGCCCCTTGCTAGGTCAGAGCTAGAGCTCTTCAATTGGCAGGGAGCATGAGCGTTCATGATTGCAGAACTAGGCCTGACTCGGCAAGGGTCCGGGATCAGACCACTGCTTCCACACACAGCATGACCGGCCCCTTACTGAGTCCGACTGATGGATCTACAATCGGCAAAGCTGCTTTGGTGTGCTACCTAAAGCATTACGCCTTAATGCATGAAACATGTATGTAGTGGTGTGAAGGGGCCCTTAGACTTTGCTCACTTTTTTTTTTTTTTTTTTCACCTGGAATGTATTTAGCTGGCTCATAATGAAAGATCAGTGGGGCAGGAAGTATTATTATTATACAGGATTTATATAGCGCCAACAGTTTGCACAGCGCTTTACAATATAAGGAAGACATTACAGTCACAAGACAAGATGGTAAGGAGGGCCCTGCCCCGAGGGCTTACAATCTAAAAGGGGGGGGTGCAGTGATGCATGAGGAGGTAGTTGTGTGGGGGTGATTTGTTTGACAATGTGATGGTTCAGTGGTTAGGTTGAGGTGGGATAGGCTTCCCTGAAGAGATGAGTCTTTAGGGAACGCCTAAAGGCAGTCAAGGTGGGAGATAGACTGACAGGTTGGGCTAAAGAGTTCCAGAGGATGGGTGAGATTCTAGAGAAGCCCTGGAGGTGGGCATGGGAGCAGTTGACTAGGGAGCTGGAAAGCAGGAGGTCTTGGGATGAGCGTAGGGGGCGGTTACGGTGATATTTTGAGACCAGGTTGGGGGTTGAGTTGTGGATGGCTTTATAAGTGACTGTTAATATTTTGAATTTTATCCTCTGAACGAGTGGAAGGATCAGCAGAGGGGGGTGGGGGATGGAAGCCAGTGCAGGGATTGGAAGAGGGGGGCGGGGGATGGAAGCCAGTGCAGGGATTGGCAGAGGGCGGTTGCAGACACTGAGTGGTTGGTTAGGTGGATGAGTCTAGCAGCTGCATTCATGATAGACTGAAGGGGAGAGTCTGCAGAGGTCGGCCAATGAGGAGGGAGTTGCAATAGTCAAGACGAGAGATAAGTGAGTGGATGAGGAGTTTTGCGGTCTCATTGGTGAGGAAGGGGCGTTTCATGGATCCGTTGTTCCATGAACTCTCGTTTAGATTATACCAGCAGCTAACTAGAACAAGGACCTGAGCTATTGGACAGAAATGTAATGGATTGTATTTGTAGACTCTCATACCGATGCTGGTTTTTCAGTATAGATACCATGTGCCGTGTGCCCCAATTATCAGGAAACGGATCATAACCCGCTGCCCTGTTTCCGGATTGCCTGGGAAGCCGGCGTTCTATCAAAAGGACACTGGCTTCACTTGCCGAGGCTGCTTGGCTGGCTGCTTGGCTTACTGACCAATCGGGAAGCCAGGAGGAGAGTCATGGCGTGCCCTCCAGCTTCCTGATTGGTTAGGAAGCCAGGCTGCCTACCAACAAGTGAAGCTGGCTTCCTAGCCTATCAGGCAGGTGGGTCATAACCCACTGCCCACCTTCCTGATTGGAAAGGAAGCCCGCTCCATGCTCCCTCAGCATTGCCTGTCACAGGGAGATCTCCCTCTGACTGGAAGTTCTGGTATCGGAGCATTTGGGCAAGCAAGAGTACTCACCCAAATACTCTTATCAGTACCAATACTAGTATCCCTACTACATACTACATTCCTAAAAGTTTGTGGACACTTCATCGTACTTCCCACTATATGGTCAACAGTGTGTGCACCCATCCTTATTGAGGTCAGGCGTTTCCAGTGGAGGGTCCTGTTAGTACAATTGCTCTCTTCTATCCTTGTGGTAACAGTTTGAAAGCCATTTCCTGTTACTGAGCACATGTGCATAAAGCTGGCTCCATAAAGACATGGTTTGAGTTGGGTGCGGAGGAACTTTTAAGTGGCCTGCACAGAGGTTACACTAAAACCCTACAGAACAAACATGGGATACATTGGAATAAAGATCACGTGTCGGATCTCCTCGTCCAGCATCAGTACCTGACCTCCCAAATGCCTGTTTTTTGGCTGAATGTAGACCAATTCCCACAGACCCACTTCAAAATCTTGTGCCAGGTCTTCCCAGACTATTCATTCTTATGGATTCGGAATGTGATATATCAGACAAGCGCATACAAGTGTGGGGGTCCGTTGTCCACAAACATTTGGCCATATAGTGTAACTGAATGATATATATTTAAAGGAGAACTATGACATGACTGATTTCCACTCACCTCATAGTTCTAAGCCGACCTGTGACAATGAGACTGTCACAGGTCGGCTCAGTAGATCGGGAGGTGAGAGAACACATACCGGCGTTCGCTCACCTCTCGATCCTGTCACGGCTCTCTGCCGTGACAGGGGGAGGGGCTGGATTCCCCTCTCCCCGCTCCGATCTGCCAGCGCTGACTGGCGGAACTGACGGGGGAGGGGGCGGGTACAGCTGACTCTGCCTCTAGATAGGCAGAGCCAGCTGTCACTCACGCAGCTGGGCGGATCCCGTCATCTACGTCGGGATCCGCTCCAGGTGCGGCGTCTCGGTATACCGCGAAAAACACTGACCCCATAGTTCTCCTTTAACCTGGAACGATAGACATAGTATACAAACACCAGACACTCCCTTTTTCTATGGATTGCATTAAGGAACTATGGCCTCGCATTAAATATGCCGCAGCACTTAGTTTTTTTTTCTTGGCACCCTGCAATGTTTTTTGGCTGAATGTAGACCAATTCCCACAGACCCACTTCAAAATCTTGTGCCAGGTCTTCCCAGACTATTCATTCTTATGGATTCGGAATGTGATATATCAGACAAGCGCATACAAGTGTGGGGGTCCGTTGTCCACAAACATTTGGCCATATAGTGTAACTGAATGATATATATTTAAAGGAGAACTATGACATGACTGATTTCCACTCACCTCATAGTTCTAAGCCGACCTGTGACAATGAGACTGTCACAGGTCGGCTCAGTAGATCGGGAGGTGAGAGAACACATACCGGCGTTCGCTCACCTCTCGATCCTGTCACGGCTCTCTGCCGTGACAGGGGGAGGGGCTGGATTCCCCTCTCCCCGCTCCGATCTGCCAGCGCTGACTGGCGGAACTGACGGGGGAGGGGGCGGGTACAGCTGACTCTGCCTCTAGATAGGCAGAGCCAGCTGTCACTCACGCAGCTGGGCGGATCCCGTCATCTACGTCGGGATCCGCTCCAGGTGCGGCGTCTCGGTATACCGCGAAAAACACTGACCCCATAGTTCTCCTTTAACCTGGAACGATAGACATAGTATACAAACACCAGACACTCCCTTTTTCTATGGATTGCATTAAGGAACTATGGCCTCGCATTAAATATGCCGCAGCACTTAGTTTTTTTTTCTTGGCACCCTGCACAAGATCCTGACAGTGAAGTTCACATAATGCAACGTCCTCTAGGCGTGACAACGCTGCTACACTGCTACTGAATTCAGAGCAGAGTTGCCACTCTCGTAGGCTGTGCTTCTTGCACTACAGTGGGATGAGAGGATGTTGCAGGAGATGTGGCCATCAGCATTGTGACTGCTGATCTTACAAACCTGTAGCTTGTTAATCATCATCTGGCTGCACAGACTGTGTTGCTAAAACTCCCCCACTGAGCTGCAGTGTCTGGGAGGGGGAGTGTGTGAGACAACACAAGTGAAGCCAGTTTTGGTTCAGTTGGGGAAGGTAAAGGAAGGGGTTTTTTTGTACACTGAATCCAAGGAATTCAAAATACAAGGATTTGGATATCTACTTGGGGGGAAATTATAGCAACTGCGAGTGTTTGAACTTGCACAGAATATTTGACGCATTTGCGCCAGATTTATGTTGCTATTGTAATATTCCTAAATGAGGTTTAATAGACTCCAGGAAAGAAGGCTCGCAACTCCGGGCAAAAAGCTTAGCTGTCGCTTCCTCAAGTGGTCATGGGGACTTTAAGTAGCGATTGTTTTGTTAGGTGATGTTCCAGTTTCAGACAGCCGCAGAAAAAGCGCAGATGTAAACAGTTGCAAACTTTCGTAAAACAGGTGCACATGTTAAGACAGATTTGCACATTAAAACAATCTAAGGGCAAGTTCACACCATTTCCTGGAGCAGATCTGGTCTGGAAAATGGTGTGAACCTGCCCGCAGTTCCAGTACAGACCAGACAATGAGACAAGCAGTATTTTTCTCATCTGGAAGAGACTGCGCCGGTGTGAACAGAGGCCAGAAATAGCATACGGATGCATAAGGATGCAACTTGTGTCCGGAAACAGTCGAGATTATCTGGATTTGGTGTGAATGAGCCCTAAGAGGCTAAAACTGTCAATTGCTTTGATAAATTCCCCCATTGTGATTTCTTCATTAGACGTGTTTAAACTGGTTGGAAAAACAATGGTATCATTGTGGAACCAAAATTGTCGTTTTTTTTGGCATTGTCCTCGCTGCTCTAAAGCTTCATGGTGGGCACAGACTCTGAATGCAGCTGTCATATAAATGTGTTGAAATACCCTCTTTAAATACTGGCAAGTCAGCCTTATACACTGAGTGGCCAGATTATTATGACCACCACATCACAACTTTGTTGGGCCGCCTCGTGACTCCACAAGATAACTTCGTTGGGCCGCCTCGTGACTCCACGAGATGTTGAAAGGTGATGCAAGGAATCTGATACGGCACTGTTGCCCTTCTGTTGTCTTGTACCAGTCTTGCCACTCTCCGTTCTGCCCCAACATTGACTAGTCGCTGACGGCCACAATTCGCACGTTCAGACCCAGATTTTCGGCTGACAGTCCGGTCTTTAAACACTTTAACAGCAACTGCTCTTGAACATTTAACGAATTCTGCTGTTTTGCTGATACTCGCTCCATGGCTCCGAGCGCCAACAATCATCCCACGTTCAAAGGCTGTTAAATCGCGTTTCCCCGTATCTTCAGAAACAAATCACTTCTACTGTCGTGGTAACCAACCTGCTTCCCTATTTATAATGGTCTGGCCCTCTAGCAACTTCAGCGCAAAATTATAGCTAATTTGCCTACAAACGTCAGGTGGTCATAATAATCCGGCCACTCAGTGTATGTACACATCATGCAATTGTCAGGGCTGGTCTTGGTATTGCACCGTGAGTTTAGGTGCAACGTGAGGATTGTTCTGATTTTTAGACCAAGTGGGAGTTCTCGGTCGGGTCTTTGTTGTCGGTCTCTGCTGAGGAGTTACTGGAACAGGAAGGGAGGGGGGGAGGCTGCCCATTGAGGGTGCAGACGGCACGGAACTAACCAGATTTGTAAAACGTTTCATCAAGAAATGCCCTTTTTATTTTTCGTCATCATTTGAAGGCCCCCCAATGTGTCACTACATACTGATGTTAGACTTTAAACCACTGTGTTTCTCTTAGGTGGAAAGTATGTACCCAGAGCCATCCTTGTGGACCTGGAGCCTGGCACCATGGACTCCGTGCGTTCTGGACCATTTGGGCAGATCTTCAGGCCAGACAACTTTGTTTTCGGTAAGTCCCTTTTTCTAAGCTTCTTAATACACCCAAATCTACTGTCACTCTTGTTTTTTACTTCATCCAGACTTCAACTTTCAATATATATACTAGGATGTTAGAATAAGTTCATGCTACTCCTCGGGTGGTTTATCTGTACTTTAAATACAGAAAGTCTTCTCAATGTTTGCTAGAATTTAGAGCAGGGGTAGCCAAACTCTGGCCCTCCAGCTGTGGTGGAACTACAAATCCCATGAGGCATTGCAAGATTCTCACGGCCACAGACATGACTCCCAGAGAGATGCATCATGGGATTTGTAGTTTCACCACAGCTGGAGGGCCAGAGTTTGGCTTCCCCTGATTTAGGCCTCATTCACACTGCTGCGCATATATGCGCGTAAAGTACCATATGCAGCATATGCAAATAAATGGCTCCATACACAGCTGCATGTGGAGCCGTATATTTGCGTAGCGTACAAATGCGCAAAAACAGAATGGAACTGAGATGCGTCCGGGCAGCGTATTTACGCGCGTACAGTTCATTAACATTTCTATTATGTATTGTGGGATTGCAAATAGTGCGTGCATATACGCACACACTCGTATATACATGCGTATATACGCAATATACAATTTTGCTCTTGCGTGTGTGAATGAGGCCTGCTATGGAGTATAAAGTTGCATCCGATTTGATAGCCAAGTCTTCTTTTTTTTTTTTTTCCTCTCTCCATATGAGGTCTTCTGTTAGTCTGTCTGTGTTTTTAAGCCATGTTTACAGTATTCTGACTTTGATGTTACAGTAGTTTGGGTCTTCTCTTACAGGTCAAAGTGGTGCAGGCAACAACTGGGCCAAAGGACACTACACAGAGGGAGCCGAGTTGGTGGACTCTGTGATGGATGTAGTAAGGAAAGAATCTGAAAGCTGCGACTGCCTGCAAGGTTTTCAGCTTACTCATTCCCTGGGTGGTGGAACTGGATCTGGCATGGGTACCCTCCTCATCAGCAAGATCAGAGAAGAATACCCAGACCGAATTATGAACACCTTCAGCGTTGTACCCTCCCCCAAAGTATCTGACACCGTGGTAGAACCTTACAATGCCACACTCTCTGTCCACCAACTTGTAGAAAACACAGATGAGACCTACTGCATAGACAATGAAGCTCTGTATGATATCTGCTTCCGTACACTCAAGCTGACCACCCCTACGTATGGTGATCTCAACCACTTGGTCAGTGCAACAATGAGTGGCGTCACCACCTGTCTGCGTTTCCCAGGTCAGCTCAATGCCGATCTCCGAAAACTAGCTGTCAACATGGTCCCCTTCCCACGTCTCCATTTCTTCATGCCAGGATTTGCCCCCCTAACCAGCCGTGGAAGCCAGCAGTATCGTTCCCTCTCGGTGCCCGAGCTCACCCAGCAGATGTTCGACTCCAAAAACATGATGGCCGCCTGCGACCCAAGACACGGACGTTACTTAACTGTGGCAGCGGTCTTCAGGGGGCGCATGTCCATGAAGGAGGTGGATGAGCAGATGCTGAACATCCAAAACAAAAACAGCAGCTACTTTGTAGAATGGATCCCCAACAATGTGAAGACAGCAGTCTGCGACATCCCACCCCGCGGCCTGAAAATGTCTGCCACCTTCATCGGCAACAGCACAGCCATTCAAGAGCTATTCAAACGCATCTCCGAGCAGTTCACCGCCATGTTCCGTCGCAAGGCCTTCTTGCACTGGTACACCGGAGAAGGCATGGATGAGATGGAGTTCACAGAAGCTGAGAGCAACATGAATGATTTGGTATCTGAGTACCAGCAGTACCAAGATGCCACAGCAGAAGAGGGAGAGTTTGAAGAGGATGCTGAAGAAGAAGCAGCAACCCCTCTATCCTGCCATCAAACGTCCTCTCACCACGCAGCAGGCCCCCTTCCCCACTGTGAGAACCAGCAGAGCCTCTGAATCAGTGAAGGGTCCCAAAAAAAACATAATGCAGAGCGTTTTCTCCTCTTGGTTGAATCAACAATAAAAGCTTCATAGTAAGAGGCGCCATTTTGGAAGTCAATAGCTCTAAACACGGTTTATAGACTTCTAACAATGTTTCTGGTGATTTTTTTCTGTTGTGGTTGCACTGGTTCCGGAGGAGAGACCAGGCCGTTGTGACACAGCATGTGCAGTTTACAAAGGGTCCCTTCCTGCTCGGGCAAAGGACACCACATGTCTCCTGTGAAGGGTTTATGTTCTAGGTGTCAAAGTCAATTTTATGTTAGCGTTAGGAATGCCACCGAATTCCACACGAGTTCTCACTGGTCATTGGCTCATCCTCGGCGCTTTGGGGTTTGGCCAATTCATATCCATAGGCTGTGGTCTCAGTATCAAGGGGCCTAGTGAAATGGAGAAGAATAAGCTGTGTACCCCAAAGGCCAGTTTTGTTTTCGGTCCCAAGTTCACTGCCATGTTTGACATGTACCATCCCGAGACTCGGATGCCTGCTCTTCTCACTGCCGGCGGCAACATGTGACTTTTCGGTTCAGAAAGTGTTCACAGTGCTTGCCGCCACCGCCTCCCCTTATGTTATCACAGCGCCAATACTAGTATTGTATGTCACTGCCCTGTCCGTGTGCACGATGAGCCTCCCTTGCCCTCAGATCTGGTCCCTTTTGAGCTTCTCACACTTTTATGTTTATTTCAATCACTGGCTCTTAAATGACTTGACAGTTAATGTTTGTTACTTCCTTTTGTGCACTCACTGTAACCTGGTGAGGAAGGCAACATGCTGTCTCTTTAAGGATTCATTCCTAGAAGTTCAAGAGTCTTCCAGACTCTACTTCATTCATTCAGTGTTTCCTGCTGCATCTTTTTTTTATTTGTCTGGTTTAAGTGAGTACATACATGTGATATTGTGACTCTGTTGCCCAGATCATTGGACCCATCGCACGGGATGAAAGCACTTACCCCCCTGGTGATGCTATCATGTCTGCACACTACTGAATAAAAGGCCCTGTGCGAAAACTATTCCTGTCTTGTTTTTTTTATATACAGTATATAACAGAGCTCAAAATTTCAGGTCCTGAGCTACTAGCCAGGCCTTCGAAGTTACTCGCCACCAGTTGCCCTTCATAACACAAACACACAGGGCACAAAAGAAAAATTGAGGACACCAAATCCTCAATTTCTATTTTCTACAGCCTCAGCACTCAATGAATGGGAGGCACTCAGTACAGAGGCTTCCCATTCATTCAGACACTGATAGTAAATATTTTACTATCAATAGTTTCTGAGTGCTACTCCCCATTGAGGAAATCCAGAATGAACAGGAAGTGATGTAAATCACCGCCTGCTCATTCATAACTGGGTACACATAGCGCTATGTGTCCCCAGTTATTTACAAACACCGGAGTGATCAGACGATCGCTCCAGTGTTTGTCCTTCTCACACGGAGGATCAGTAAATATCAATGATATTTACCGGTCCCCTGCTCTACCTCGCACAGAGCCGCTGTCATCCTGAAACTGACAGGATGACAGCGGCTCCGATCTCCTCGCCGCTCGGCCATCCTGACAGCTGCGAGCGCGGCTTCTCTCCTCATGGCTTCTCTCCCGCTCGGCCATCCTGACAGCAGGCAGCGCTCCCTCCTGCGACCCCGATGGACGGACGAGGGAGCGCTGTCATCGTGTCGGTGAGGAAGAGAGAAGCCGCCCCGAGGAGTGCCTGACTCAATGGCTTCATTTCCACTCGCCCCCATGCAATTTTCACTCGCAATTTGCAAGGGGGCGAGTGGAAATTTTGAGCCCTGGTATATAATATACATACCACTGCTAAACCCCATCCCCACACCTTGCTATTGGCCCATCATAAGTGGCCTTGCTGGCCAATAGGAATATGTTGAGCCGTGGTTCTCAACCTTTCTAGGGCCGGGACGCCTTGGTAACATTTGCCAAGTTGTGGTGACCCCCCAACAGTAAAATTTAGGAATGATGCAGCTGCTGCAGCGACATCTGGCGGGAGAACTGACACTGCTGCGCTAGGAGAGGGCTGAGGAGGACTCTCACCTAGCAAAGCAGAAATCACACAGCGACCCCACAGGTTGAGAACCACTAGTGTACGCTGTCGGAATAAAAAAAACAAACCACCATAGGAATGCATAGCTAGATTCCTATTGGCTTTTTCACTTGGCAATGGTAAACTAACTATTGCACCCGCCCTCTGCTGCTGTCAATCAGTAGTGGGGACCTGATGGAGAACTTCTGGTCCCCTCTCCTGATTGGCAGCAGCAGAGGGCGGGTGCAATAGCTAGTTAGGGGGGGGGGGGCCATGATGCGAGATCAGTACACGCCTCGGTCACTTTACCCTTCTCTTAAAATTACAACAAATGCACCTTTTTAGAAATGTTTAGTAATGGCAATTTACTAACGGATAGACCATCGCAGACTTCCTATTCTTTGACTACCTTATTTTCCTTTTGCTCTTCCTTCTCGCGATGTCCGTTTGATGAATCCATCTTCATGTCCTGGAACTCTGGATCTGCCTCCTGGAACATGTGGCAGTGCACATCTCTGGAGAGGAGGGGGTTCACATGCCATTCCTCCAAGATCTTACAGATGATGAGATTTCCCAAGAAAGCACTGGTGATGTAGCCTTCCCAGGATGCATCTGTGAGGCCAGAGATACATCAGTGCCTCACTCAACCAGGAAGTGTAAAGGCTGTAAGATGCTGCAAGCGATGCAGCACGGAGCAGTGGCGGGCTGCCTTCGTGAGCAATGTGTCATGTAATTTTCTCCCCGGCACGTCAGCTTGCGAGAGCTCGCATAGCTGAGCATGCCGAGATGAAAAATTTAATCTTCAGCCAATCGGCTCGCACATAAAAACCACGTGCGCGTCAGGATGCGACGACTGGCCGTTTGTTACGCATGAGCCGATTGGCTGAAGGTGCAGTCAATCATCTGCCTGCGCTAAGCTCACACTGCATGCAAAGCTCCGTGCTGGACAGCGTTGCTTCGCTCTGCACGACTTTGCGTGCAGTGTGTCGCGGGCTTTAGAGATGATTTCATATTGGAATGCAGAGCTACTGATCTACTGAACCAATCATTTTTGCATCGCTGACCTAAAAAAAAAAAAGGTATGCAGATCGGGAGTTTTTAAGTCATATTCTAACTCCATTTTTTGGAGTTGGTGAATCAAAATGGTGGAACCAGAGACAGCCAGGTTGGCAGTGTTTCCACAAGGAAATCGGTTATGGCAGCTTGAATGTTACTCGGTGTGACATTATCCTCATTCAACTTCTTTACCTGCAAGCAACAAGGTGTAGAGGTCAGGTGCCCTGGCGCATCTCTGGATGAACGCATGGACCAGGCCAGTGATTAGGCAAGGAGGAGGACAATGATGGCCTTAGAGCAGTGGTTCTCAACTCGTGGGTCGCGACACCCTCTGCAGTGGGTCTCGGCGTCATGTCTGATTAGAGTATGTACCTTCAGCAAAACTATTTGGTTATAGCAACACCCATTATTATTTTTTGTGCTGACGTTCTTTTTAACACCGGGTACCGAGAATCAAAACCAGACATGGAAAAGATTTGGCCGAAGTGAAGGTGCTGGGGGCGTAACTACATGTGACATTCGTAAGATACCCATCTGCACACCATTTGAGAAATGCATTTAAAGCAAATACACTAACACCAATGCTGACAGGCAAACGGTTCAGTTATGGAGCATGGCCAAGAATTTATAGTGCACCTGTACCCAGACTATGGACATTAACCACCTCCCGTCCTTAGGCCGTTCCTGAACAGCCAGACGGGAGCCTTATAGGAGCGGGAGGGCGTCTTAAGACGTCCGTACCCTCGCTCGTGCGTGGCATGCACATGAGTGGGGAAACTGTCAAATCTAAACAGGCAGCGATGGCTGTTTACATTCAAGTGATCGCTCGTAGTAGGTGCGGGTGTGCGCCATCTCTGCCGGTCCCGAGATCCGCTGGGAACAGCACAGCGACTGTCACGGGAGATTAAAGGGAGTTCAGTACACGATCTCCTCTCCGGTCCCCGAATGCAGGAAGTGATATATATATATATATATAACATCACTTCCGCATTCAGTGTCACTCTCTGGCTACAGATCTCTGCTTCAGCTTCTCTGGGGGTCCCTATGTGACATTAGAGGTCTTAGAAACCCCTGATGTCTCCATAAAGAGGACCTGTTATGTGAATTGGCTGTGACATAGGGGGATTTTTAGTCCCCTATGTGATAGCAATAAAATAGAAGCATAGAAAGATGGTCACAAAAAAAAGTAAAATAAATTTTTTTTTAAAGTCTCCCGTCCCCCACATACACACTCACGTTGGGTGCGCCTATGTGTGGAAACGACAATTGCGCCCATTACGCCACACATGTTGCATATCACCAGGAATGTCGCAGTGAGAACAATAATTTTAGGGCCATCAATCACTGATAACACTAAACTAATGAGCGGTAAAAGCTTTTGAAGCGTCGCCTATGGTCAATTTTGGGTATGGTCATTTTCTGCCACTTCATGGCCGTGGACAATTTTAAAGCTTGACATGTTTGGTGTCTCTTTACCTGAGGTGACCCCGTCTTTTATATTTTAAGAATTGGGGTGATAAATGGTTCATTACATTTTATAAGGAAAATTTAGGGTACTTTTTTTTTTATATAGTAAACAATAAGAAAAACCCAGTGGTGATTAAATACCACCAAAAGAAAGCTCTATCTGTCCCCAAAAATGGTATAAAATTAATTTCAGTACAGTGCTGTATGATGGAATAAATGTCAGTCAAAGTACCGCAGCGCTGAATACTGAAAAATGGCCTGGACAGGAAGGGGGTGTAACACCTGGTCAGCAAGTGGTTAAAATGTATTTTTAACAGGCGGTAGTTTTATTTATTTAAATGATCACCGAACTCTAGCTGTGTACATTCATTTTAAAGTAAACTTTCCCAGACTATATAAAATATTACACCTT